AAGAACAATGAAGGAATTAGTATTGTATTAGTATTAGTATTAGTATTTCGTATTGGAACAATAGCTTATGACTACGAGACAACACATAACGTCGAACCATTGGAACTACTGTGGGCAGGCGGACGCGTCCATCGGAAGGAGAACAGCTTTGGCTACAGTGCGGATGTCGACCACACGAACACGGCTGTCGGATCCTAGAAACACCGCATCGGCTCTTTCTAACCGCCATTCATTGGACGGAAGGTTGTCTTTTTAACCACCACCAAGTCCCCTACACGGAGGTCTCTTGAAGGGGCTCGCCACTTATTCCATTTATGAAGTTCCATGAGGTACTCTTCCTTCCACCGCAGCTGAAATTGCTGCTAGAGAGCCTTCAAGAGCTGCCACCTGGACGTTGTGCCTCTCTTTATTTCAGATTCCACCGTGGCTAGGGATGGCTCTCGAACAAGAAAGTGTCCAGGAGTAAGTGCCAACAAGTCGGCGGGGTCTTCGGACAGGGTGGCGATCGGGCGCGAATTCAGGCATGCTTCGATTCCCGCCAAGAGCGTGGACAGCTCTTCAAACGTGTATTTGCGCGTGGCCTTATAGGACAGGGTCTTAAAGCTCTTAACGCCTGCCTTCCACAGGCCTCCCATGTAGGGGGCTCCCGGAGGAATGAAATGCCAGAGGTTTTTCCGTTGTCCGATTGAACTTGGCGGGGAATCCTCTGAGGGACACGAAACGGGCGAAAGCAGCGAGAAATTTTTCGATCGTAAGGTCGGACGTGGGCTCTAAATGGATAGCCTTAGTAGTGAAGCATACAAACACTAGAACATACCCCTTTGTAATCAAACAGGCTCGGCCCGTGTAGTTCTTGATGTCGAAGGGGCCGGCGTAGTCCATACCGGTATAGGTGAAGGGACGAGAGAACGACTTCCTCTCCTTAAGCAACTCTCCCATAAGTTGCGCCTGCACCTTCTTCTTGTGGATGACACACACCTTGCACGAATAGATGACTGATTTGACCAAATTCCTCACCCTCGGAATCCAGAATCTTGAACAGATCAGGAGGATTGTCAGGTAATTACCGCCGTGTAGCGTTATGCGATGCGTAAAGTGGACAAGAAGGCAAGACAGATGGCAGTTGTACGGAAGGATTATAGGGTGCCGCTCGTCATATTGGAGAAATCTTTCTCCTTTTAGATCTTCATCGTGTCAAGCCAGATTATTCGCCAGGTCCCGACGGAATTCCCGGCTGTGAGCACAGGTATTGTGCCGACGCACTGTGCTATCCCCTTCTGAAGCCATTTGTGACCCTTATTGTTTACATTATTTATATATGACCTACCCAAAGTCTTGACTAACTCCAGAGTACTTATGTACGCGGATGACGTCAAGCTTTGCGTGCAATACAATGACGTTGCCTGCCAGTCGGATTTACAAACAGATCTTAATAATTTTTAAACTTGGTGCCGGTGTAACTTATTAAACTTAAATGGCTCGAAATGCAAGCTAATGACATTCTCTCGTTTCGTTCCTAAGCTTGCTCCTTACACGCTGAACTGCTGTTCTTTGGAAAGAATTAATTCTGTTGACGATTTGGCCGTCCGCTTGGACCCAAAACTTGACTTTATTGATCATATTTCGTCTATGGTGAATAGAGCAAGGGGTGTGCTTGGATTTATTCAACGGTGGTCGAAGTAATTCAATGACCCCTATGTTACTAAATCCTTATATGCTTCTTTAGTTTGTCCTATCTTAGAATATGGATGCTGCGTTTGGAGCCCTCAGTACGGCGTCCATAGTAAACGCATTGAGTCGGTTCAAAAGAACTTTTTACTTTTCGCTTTACGCGGTTTAAATTGGGGTGCAAACCAAAGATTACCTTCCTATTCTAGTAGACTCCTATTAATAAACTTACCGTCTTTAGCCAATCGTAGAATGATGCTACGAATAACCTTTATTTTTAACCTTGTCCATGGTGATGTGTAAAGTGCTGACTTGTTGAGTCAGCTCAATTTCTATGTACCATGTAGAACTACTAGATCCTATATCCCATTAGTGTTGCGCCACTGTAGAACCTCCTTTGAACTACATGAACCTTTTACAGTCTTATGTGCAAATTATAATGATTTGTACACACCAATCTCTAACGTAAATACCCTTTCCAATTTAAAATCTATAATACTAACACACTTAGTAAACATTCAAGCAAACAACCTGGCAGCACGCTGGTAGTCAATTTCCTCGTATTCTGTCCTACATTTTCCATCGCGCCTCCTAACACCCAACCCAAACAGGCACGTTCCTGGTGTCATACGGGCCACTTAAATGTACTGACCGTAGTGCATCAACGTCCAATATGTGAGGCGGTAAACTATTTGGCATTGACATTCAGGAGGCGATTAGATCCATGTAATCGCCAGCGGTCGGTTCCAAAAATGTACTGGCAAGCAGGGACGCACTAGAAATCCTGAGCACGACAACGTCAGTGCGAAGCTACTGGGTTCCTTGCCACCAGGGCACCAAATGAAATCGCAGACGCACTTGTAAATGAAGGAGTCGGACTGGCTATCGATAAAATAGAAAACGTTCCACTCTCTCTAAGAACGCTCCAAGGCGAGTTAGAGAGATGGGCGGACATACGAGCAAATATCGGGTGGAGAGGAAACTCTTCTACTTGGAAAACATCAAAAATCATGTGCAAAGAGCGCAATGACAAACTCAGCCACTACGTTTTGCATCTATCCCGAAAGGGCTATTAGTGGGAATTCTAACGGGTCGTTGCCTGACTGCCGCGCATGCAGTCAGGTTGGGCATCACCAACAACAGCAACTGCAGGAAATGCGATGAATCTGAGGCAACCGAAACCTTGGAGCATCTCATCTGTAAGTATCCAGCCCTAAAGCAGGCAAGAGTAAAGCACTTAGGTGCCCCAGTACTGGCATCACTAGTAGATGCGTTCCTGCTTGCAGTACATTTTTGGAACTACCTACCTGATGGCGAAGACTTCCACCTAGAATAAGCTGCAATGGCTTGGTAGCTTATTCGAGAGCCTCATCTCGGAGTCTGTACAGTAAATGCCCGCTCCAACTCCTCCTTCCATCTTGGAGCCGTCAGTGAAATTATTGAGGTGTCGAGCGTGGTCCTGAACCATATTCCAGTCTTCAGGTCCCATAAATGTTGATGTTTTCAAATCCGGGCAAGTTCTAGGCCTCATGTAGTCAGATACACTGCTCAAGGTTCGACCAATTGTACTGTGCCCGTCTCATTTTGTCGACATACTTTCTAGCGCTACTAGGCGTTGCGCAGCCTTTCCCACGGTCAGTTGCGCGTAGATGTCAAAGGGATCAATTCCAATTAAAGTCTCTACTGGTTTTGTGGGAGTTGACCTTAGCACCCCAGATATGCAGAGCAGTGCATGCCGCTGGGTTCTCTCCATAAGCTTTTTGTAGGTCCTCTTTTTCATGGCTTGCTACCACACTAACCCCGTATAGAAATATCGGACGCACCACCGATATTTAGACCCAGTGCATAAGAGAGGGTGAGAGGCCCCATGTGCTGCTGAGCATCTTCTTGGATGCATATAGCGCAATGGTGGCCTTCTTCACCCTCTCTAGTACATTGGGTTTCCATGCCAGCTTGCTGGTATTTTACTTGGTATTTGACTTGTGTTTTCGGGGTCAGCCTGGTTAGGTCGTCGAGAGATTATTTCTTTGAACTTTCCCCAGTTAGTGTTCCGAGGGTTTCTTAAGATTGTTGGTTTTGGAGTGTGATCGAATTCGCATTGGAACTATATGTACCTGTGGTCTCTCCAGGACCTTCCAGTCTGATACCATGATACTTTGTCCCGCTACGAGTGTTATGTCTAGCACGTTGGTCGAGGTGGGGCCTACAAAGGTGTGTTCCTCCCACACGTTTGCTTTATAGAAATTGGTAGAGAGAATAAAGTCTTAAAGTGACTCACCTCTGTCGTTTATGACGGGGCTTCCCCATACGCTGTGGTGTGCATTGGCGTCTGCACCCACGATGAGTTGCTGGTCCTTTGGGCCAGGCTCTATCAGACTCCTGAGTTCTTTCGGTGGAGCTGTACTATAGTGTGCCATGTAGCAGGAAGCTACCATAAGGCGCTTCTTCTTGCTTTCTAGCAGCACCACAGACATGTCCGAGCTGTAATGAGACATAAGGTTAGCTTGAAGACCCTTCCGTACGAGTACGGCGGTTCTGTTTCTACTTACCGATGGTGTGTAGAACCCGTTGTAGTTTGAGGATTTTAGTCCGGCGACGGCATTGCCAGAGGTAATCCATGGCTGTTGGACTAGAGCTACATCGACGAACCATTACTCCATGGCAATAAGGAGTACCGCCGACGCTACCTTGCTCCTATGGAGATTTTGCTGCAGCACCCTTAGGGACATGGATACTGGGTTCAACTCCACTCGACTGGTTGACTATTATCGTCAGGTCACCGTCTTCCACCGCGGCTCGGTCATCTTGCTATTCTCATCGCTCCTGTCAATGATTGCCACTATCAAATGTCGTTTGGTCACTTCACTGGCTTTCGCGATTTTCTTTTCCTTTTGGGTTTTCGCCTTCATGGGGGGGGGGCCTGCTTCCTTGGGCACGCGTTGCCGCTTGATCGCCGGAGTGTCTTTTATAGCACTCTAGGCAGAGCGTTGCCGCATGGTGGCAAGCATCTCCTCCACCTTGTTGGCGAAACCGGTCGTTGATGCCATGTTTAAAAAGCTTGGTGAAGTGCAGCCTGCTCTCCTCGATGCTTTTCTCGGCCCAGTTGAGCTTTACCTTCTCCTCTTCGGAGAGGGCAGCCTTTGTCCAGAGCCAGTTTTGGATTCGAAGGGCAGCCTTCTACTGCGCCTTAGCCTTCTTCCCCTCGCTTGAACGCTGGTGCCTTGTATTGTACTTAGAGTGGAAAGAAAACAGGAACCGTATTCTGCAGCCGTATATGAATCCCAATAGCCTTTTAACTCAGATATTTAATAAAAACCAAAAGATTTTCGTAATTTACAATTTTTAACACGTCATATATTCGTTTAATTTTCGTAGATTGAAAGAACCTCAGGCGTATGTTAAAATAAGTATGCCATGACTAAATTGAATTTATAAGTGATGTATCGGCACAGTTTTATTTTCGAACTTTGGCTGGCTTTTCCTTTAATTAATTATATAGGTAAAACATATTTACAAGGTTTTAGCTGCCATCGATATTTAACAAAAAAAAAAAAACAAAGAAAATTTATTTGCTCCTATTCTGAGGCTTGCTGAAGTAAACTTTGGCTGCTGCAGTACAATTTAAAACTTTCTTATTTCTAGGCATATATGTAAAGGCAGGCTTCAGTTAGAGCTTCTTAGGCTTCATTCCCGATTGGATTGGGGAAGTATACGTCGTGACTTGAATGCTTTGTACCTTCTCAGTCCGAAAATCAAGGCGTTTCAGTAAAATAAATAAGATGAAGGAAGCAAATAGATAAAGGGCGAAAACGTCTAGAAGATAGTACTGCCACCATCTGTGAACCAAGAAAAGTTATTTAATGTTTTAAAAAAAGATTAATTAATTTACGGCATATTTCGAGAAGGTGTCTGCAAATGATAAGCGCCCTTGTGACGAAGCACGTATTCAGTCCAGTATATGGCCGTCTCCAAGGCTGTCGAGCGCTGATCTAGTAAAAGATTCTGGCGATAGCGAGCTGCATTTTTATAACGCGGATCATGAATCACTTTCATGATTGCCTTATAAAGTTGATTAGTTGACAGAGACTCAAGATCCAGCTTGACGGCGTAGCCGTCTACCTCGGCTTTGGCAGAATTAACATCATGATCGCAGAATACTGGCATGGTTACGACTGGTACTCCGTGAAATACTGTCTCAAACATGCTAAGCAAGCCTCCGTGGGTGACAAATGCTCGTAATTTTGGATGACCCAATATGTCTTGCTGAGGAAGCCACCTTGAAAGTTTCACATTTGAAGTAAGATCCTGTATATCTGCAGCTCTGCCTTCGTACTTCCATAGCACATGATATGGCAAGTGGGCAAACGTTTTTACTAGCATGCGACGGAGCGATTCAGGCATATTCGCAGCTTTCACTGATGAGCCCATCGATACATAAATGAATCCTGAAACTCCAGAAGCGCCAATAAAGTCCTCTAGATCTTTGGGAAGTTTTCTAGCTCGTTTACAGTGAATGCAAGCAACCTCTGCCACATTTGGATTAAAGGCTCTAGGATATGACACCACTGCGTGCCCATTTTGGAGAATAAAGCTCACATTACGAGACATTTCATAAGGGTGCGGTATATGCTTGCCCAAATGATGCTGCAACACAAGATGAGTTCGCCGCATAACGTACTAGGAATAAAGTAGTTTTAAGGTTTGCTAAAATTTTAATTTAAGTTTTCCTCACCATGTGCAGAAGGTTTTGTCCAATTTGCATACCCGTGTTTATGGCCCGATTATAGATATTCATCGTGTCCGTAAATCGAGAATAAAAATTCGGAGTAACGGCATAGCTTGCAGGATTTCCTGCAATAGAGAGGCTACCGGTATAGAAGCCTACTGTGTTTATATACATAAACGGGATTTTAAGCTGGTACACCAATCCCAACGCGCATTCCGGGAAGGCTCCGTCTAATATGGCCAAGTCAAAGGTTCGAGTTGACAATTCTCTAGTTTCTGTGTCCCGAAGCATTGCGTCACACGACTGTCAGGAATAAATAAAATTGTGTTAAATTTAGGTTACAAGATAAATCGAAAAGATATTGTGATCAGAATTATTTTAATACACAATTCGTAGTACAAAGTAAATTTTATTTCCCACATGCCGATATTTATTTTTTTAGAAAAGAAATGTAATTAATGTAATTGTTTTGACTTTTGACTTAATACTCCTATCATTTTGCCTTTAATCACTAGCTGGTCTGATAAGCTATTATAATGCAACACAAACGGAGGTAAGTATAAGCTCTCTGGTCCAGACTTCCTGCATCAGCAATGTTGAAAACAATTGGAAAAATTGTCACGCGCAGAAACCCATAGATAGATAAAAATATTGAATAGGATAATTAATATGAAAAATTAGTGGAATAAAAAAATTAATACGCAAAATATTTGATCGTGCACGAAGGGTAATACTGGTATGACAAATAAACATCTATAGGGCGGGTCACACCCGAGTCACAGTAATAAGGTCCGATTCACCGATTCTCGTGGAAAATTTGCGAGTGCCAAACTCTTCTTATCTAATAAAAGGCTTTCGAGTCCCAAATCTTCTCCCTCTCGTATAAGACTTTAGAGTCCCAAAGTCATCTCGCACCTAAACTGTCTTCAGTCAGCAGGATCGCACCCCTGAACATTTGGTCCGTCGAGCCGGATTTTGAAAGGATATCCTTTCGCCATTTCTTCAGCAGTACAAGTCTGTTCAGAAGGTCTATTCAGTACGCCTATTATCGCTAACGATCTTCAAAAGTGGTCCAATCATTTACTTTCGGTCGCACTGTTGCAAGATTAACGTTTTTTGTTCGTATTTACTCCCAGTCCGAGACTTCCTGACACCACGGCAGTTGAGAAATTCCATTTTAGTTCGCCTCCGATCCTCGAAAATTGTCCATCTGTGTCCGCTTTGTGTGCGCCGCCATATCCCTCGCCGTTTCTTTCGATTCCCCGTTGCCCATTAGCTTGCTAATGTTCATGCACCATACACACACACGAATGCTAACCTCTTACACATACATAGTTCCCTCCATATAAAAGTTCGCCGTAAACAATGAAATTGTGTTGCGGGAAAAAGGGTCAAAATTAATATCGGACGGCCGGTGTGCACTTGTTTCGGCTGTTCACCTTGTTCGCCGAACAGTATATTCGTAATATATTTTCTGCCTCCGATTCCACGAAATACCCTCCGATAATATAATTCAAGAAATTAAAGTGAGCAAAGCGACACCAGTAAAACCCTAACACAAACGCAAGTCTTTTTTTAAATTGTTTTAAACTTAGCTTGTTGCTTTTGTTGCAGTTTAATTCTATGGGTCCCTCACATAAGCACCGGTTGCAATGTTTTTAATTTCACCACTACGACTTTAAACAATTAAACATTTTCTGCCGATCATTTCTGATATTAACAATTGGTTAGACAACTACCAACACAACCAAAATCTGAACTCCAACCCACACAGGTGCAACTGCGTTTGTTTTTTTTTTTCACTTCGCCGCCGCAGCGGCCGTGTTTGTTGTTGTTGAAGTTGAGTTCATTGGGTCCCTCACATAAACGCAGTAAGCTTTTTCTGCTCGACCAAGAACCAAGGTTTTTAATTCCGCCGCCGCAGCGGCCGTGTTTGTTGTTGTTGAAGAGTTCATTGGGTCCCTCACATAAACGCAGTGAGCTTTTTCTGCGCGACCAAGAACCAAGGTTTTTAATTCCACATTTCCGGCGCTGAAATTATTAAATATGAACGGCTCATAATTTTCTTTATCAAAAATTGTTTTTTTCTTTGGTGTTTTGACGACGAGGAAAATCGACCAGCAACAGGCACTTTCCGCCTACCTCGCAACTTATGTCTTTTTCTTGGCTTGTTTTCTGTAGTCGTTTGGCCGTCACAACGACGCCTCCCAACTCGCAGAACCGTTCAAGCATTCAACCGTTCTGTTCTCCTTTTTTCCTTTTTTTTTATTCGAGTGGTGGTGCCACTCGTGCTGCAATCGATCTGCGCCGGACGAGCGAAACAGAGTTTCGCTGCGGCACGCGCCTTTTCGAAACTCAAGTAAACAAGGCTTCACAGAAGAGTGTCCGCAATTTTATTATTTATTTTTTCCTCTTCGCTGTATACGGAAAATCTCAACAGACTTCCTTGATCCGAGTGACAGTCCTTGTGGCCGGATTCCATTTAATTATTTACACTTTTTTGGCGTCCCAGATCGCGCATTAGTGTGACTTACTTTCAGTTCACAAGCACTGATCAGCAGCATTCGATTCCGAGGATGCCCACGGGAGTCGATAAGAAACCGCATCCGATCCTATACAAACGGATAGTACAGATCCCAATCCGCATCTCAGTGGGCGTCTCAATTAAAGCCGATTCTCCTCTTATATGTGCCAGGTTCATAGGGACTAAATCCGGGTCCTGTCGGAAAAGATGGAGAAGTGTTATAAAAGCTGCTCCGAACTGATCTCCGTGTCCGACGACGGTACGGCCACTTCGACTGTGCTGGAATGAAAGTACAGCTACAGCTACTCCGTTTATTCAAGGTATGTTGCTCAGCTTCAGGAAATAATAGAAAGGGCTGCCACCCAGTCAACTCTGGCTTTCAGCAGTGGACACACACCCCCGTCCACTGGTTGTCGCTTACCACCAGTGGACACCAAGGTTTTCGTGGGTGACTATCTTCGTTGGCCAACCTTCACAAACCTGTTCACAACGATTTACATTCACAACTCACGTATCACCCCGCTCGAGAAATTGTGACGTGAGTGGTTGATTCGACTACATCAAGAGGTAGCAGCTTTGCCTGAACTGTTTTGCACGAGGTCATCAGCAACGGGAATGCACCAGTGCCCACAGCAGCTTCACGGGTACCATAGAAAAACAGTCAGATGTAAAAGTGTGTTTCGCTTCCGGCTCAGGAGCCGTCCTATTGGGCACCGCCCCTTTTAACGTGTGCCATTTGGGTTGCAGCTTCCAAGCGCTATCCTTAATAGATCGCGGGCAGAGGCGAACTTCATTATGGAACGGCTGTTCAACCAGAGCAAGCTTCTCATTAAAATGATACAAGCCCAAATTTCCGGCCTTAATCAGTCTGTTTCCTCTCAGTCTACTGTAATTAATTGTTCCAAATACATACGCCGAAGAGTCAAGGTACCCTCTGGCCAGTAAAATTACCCGAGAATTAATGTATGTCGACCACATTTTAGCTAGGGAAGACTCCAAATCTGTGGCACAGATGGCAGTCCGCAAGCTAGAGGGGGCCCTGTGTTCGGGTTCCTACTTAGGAAATGGACTTCCAATAGCAAGGCGATTTTGACCGGCACTAATAGCGACCATCTCCTTCGGGCTGATTTCCTGGAAATAGACGCAGAAAGCACGGCCAGAATTTAAGCCGGGATCGTCATTAACGAAGCTCCAGGTCCTATCCCAAATTGCCAAATTGTTCGACCCAGGGGGCAGGCTCGCCCATTTTATTGTCCAGGCGAAGATGTTCATGCAGGACATTTGGCTTCAGGACTTAGGGTGGGGCGTCGCCCTTCCTTAAGGTTTCTCAGAACGATGGGTTAACTTTCAGGGGAATTACTCCGCGCACGACCAGGTCAGCATTCCTCGATGGGTCGCGTTCCGACCTCATTTGAAAATCGAGCACCACGGGCTCTGCAACGCTTCGTAAAAGGCGTGAGGAGCCGCCATTTGCGTGGATGTTGGCTCCACGGTAATGACGAACTTGCTAAAGGCAAAGCGAGTATTTACAGTCAAAACGGTGTCACTCCCTCGGTTGTGGTTGTGCGGATCTTTATTGTTGTCCGAAATGGACAGTGCCATTCTTCCTAAAATGCCAGGGCAGGTGTTCACCCTGGACTGTTGGAAAAACTAGTCCTCGCCTGGTTGCATTAACAACAACATCAACATAAACATGACATTTAAACATAACATTTAAAAATAAAATTTATTTTAAGCTTAGAATATATTTTTGAATAAAGAACTTGAAAAAATGGCTCGCAACACGAAAACAAAAACAATGCCTCATTTGCACCTCAAAATTGTTATAAATTAATATATAAAAAAATGTTCTATTCGTTTTATTATAAAAAGAAATGTATTGCCCCATACATCATCTAAGGGTTAATCAACACATTCTATTTTTGTCCTGCTCTAAATTACTAGGTTGAGCCCCTCTCACTCGCACTCATTGCTATGATTGAAGAGGTACCAGATTTTTCCGATGGGTATAATTGTAAAATGATCAAGATTACCCAGTCACATGTCCCTTCCGAGCAAAACCCGCGGATCTTGCTAGCCACTGGGATGCAGAGGCGTCGTTGCGAGTAGCCCAGTCAAAGCAATGACTCCCTCGTGACTGTGCTTGAGAAGCAAACAGTCAGCGTTTCTTCACACTCAAGGAGTGTGGTGTCTGCTACGCAACGCAGCGTTTTCGCCTCTGAGATTAGGTCCTAAAGCCAACAGCAAACGGCATCCTATAATCCTCCCGTACAACTGTCAGCTGTCTCGCCATCCTCCAAGTTCAGTCGGACAACGGGAAGACCTTTATAGGGAAAGCCACCCTACTCTTGGACGTTGATGTGGCCCGTATGACACCAGGCACGTGCCTGTTTGGGTTAGGTGTTAGTAGGCGCGATGGGAAATATAGGACAGAATACGAGGAAATTGACTACCGGCGTGCTGCCAGATTGTTAGCATGCATGCTTACTAAGTGTGTTAGTATTAAAGATTTTAATTTGGGAAGGGAATCTACGTTAGAGATTAGTGTGTACAAATCATTATAATTTGCACATAACACTATAAAAGGTTCATGCAGTTCAAAGGAGGTCCTACAGTGGCGCAACACTAATGGGATATAGGATCTAGTGGTTCTACATGGTACATGAAAATTAAGCTGACTCAACAAGTCAGCACTTTACACATTACCATGGATAAGGTTAAAAATAAAGGTTATCCCTAGCATCGTTCTACGATTGGCTAAGGACGGCCAGTTTATTAA